ATAAAACTAAGGCATTTCGATCCAGGATGCCGTCACAGCTAAACAGGAAGAGACAAGGCAAAGCTACTATGAAAAAAAGCAGAGAGAGCAGCACGTTACAGATTGAACTAACAGATTCTGCAGAGTGGGAGAATAGAGATAGAATTAAGCAGAATGATGAAATGGGGGTCCCTATGTCCTCCAGCGTTCTAAGCCTATAGCAGCATAACTATAGAGATAGCTCAGGATAACCTGAGCCAGTCTAACTATAAGCTTTATCAAAAAGGAAAGTTTTAAGCCTAGCCTTAAAAGTAGACAGGGTGTCTGCCTCACGGACTAAAACTGGTAGTTGGTTCCACAGGAGAGGAGCCTGATAACTAAAAGATCTGCCTCCCATTCTACTTTTAGAAATTCCAGGAACCACTAGTAAACCTGCAGATTGAGAGCGAAGTGCTCTGTTAGGAACATAAGGAACAATCAGATCTCTGATATCAGATGGAGCTTGGCCATTTAAGGCTTTATATGTGAGAAGGAGGACTTTAAATTCTATTCTTGATTTAACAGGAAGCCAATGAAGAGAAGCCAGGATAGGAGAGATATGATCTCTCTTTTTCATTTACATCAGAACTCTGGCTGCAGCATTTTGGATCAGCTGAAGGCTTTTAACTACAGTTTGTGGACTTCCTGATAGTAAAAAATTACAATAGTCATTGTATCATTGTATCTATCAGCATCACCCCTGGACAGGATATTTATAATTTTTGCAATATTGTGCAGATTAAAGAAGGAAATTCTAGAAACCTCTTTGACATGAGATTTAAAAGACAGATCCTGATAAAAAAATAACACAAAGAAAAGCTAAACAAAATTCCTGTCTTATAAACTATTCAATGCCAAGTCATTAACTGGATGCACTCAGCTGGTTACCTTTGGATAGACAACTTTTAGCCAATCGGTCTGCAGGATTTGACTGAGTTGTCTCAGAAAAATGCCTGATGATGATGTTTTGTAAATTTTTACTACAGAAATAAACTGACATGAATAAGAAATAAGGAGACAGCAGCTGTAAGGTAACACCTGAACACCTCAGTGAGCCCAGCTAAATACTTACAGACATACAGTACAGCTGAGGAGCACGGTGTGTCTGTAAATACAATACCGAGGTGGTCAGACATCAGCAAGAGAGAACATAAATCTAAACTTTTACATTTATTGCCTTCCGCCTGACTGGGATGCATGAAAAGATGGCTTCCAAGCTAATAGACGTCCACAGTTTCAGAGAGAATATCCAGGAATAAAAACAAGATAAGCTGATAATCTCCACCAGATTCAATCCAAACTAAGAGTACAACCTGCTTAAGGAAAAAACTATAAAAGCTACTCAGCTATCCCTGTTTGTATTTATTTATCCAAAGGGAATAAATCATTTTTATAGTATACACACAAATTTGTAGATATATAAAAAACACTGGCTTATAGGCAAAGCTATGTCCCCTGCTGGGTCCAGCCCCACATGTCACTGCATGAAATTCAATAAGAATCTCAGCTCACTGTGAAAATCATATACTCTCCATAAAAACCCCAAATGGAGGTACATTAGCATGTCACACAATGTGCACGTTAAAAAATGATGTATTTTTGTCAAACTCTATAAAGTGGGCGGTGCCTGTTTGTCCTGTATTACAAAAGAATCTGGGTAACCAGCAGTAGATCAAAACATAAGGAGTGCCTTAAGTTAAATAAGGTATTAATAGGAAGGATCCTGTTTCTTTTTCCTACCTCCTTTCTAACTGCCAGCACTATTCGGATGGCACTGATCATAGTGACCACTGAAACACTTCTGCTAGGGATAAAGTGTTCGTAAACATTTTTCCAATTATGATTTACCCAACGCCTCAGTTAGCATGTTAAAGGATCATAACAGAATTAAATAAATGTGTCATCTGGAGGGGTTGAAGGAGAAGCTTGTTCTCTCTGATAGGAATGCTAATAAATGCCAAGAAAGCACAACTCAGGTTTACAAAGCTGCCTCTGGATTAACTTCAGTGTTTCTGCAGGTATTTCCTTTGTACAAATGAGACCAAATACAGCAAGTTATCAGAAACAACTTCTAAACCATGATGGTGGAGGCCTTCCTCTGCTGCTGAGAACCTTCCCCTCATGTGAAGGGAACAAAAACTGCTCTGTTTATGAATTATTCTATAGTTAAATGTGAATCCGTCAGTCCAATGAAACTAGGTCCAAACTTCATTAACAGAACCATGAACCCAAACACAGCAGCTGATTTCCTGTGGTTGAACAAAAAGCTCCACAGAAACTAATGTCTGCAAATCCAAATAGTATTAAGCCTCAGAGAAAAGAATAGGGGGAAATCCCTCCCAACCTTTTAAGAGAAATTAAAAGATAAGACAGAATAATTAAAGTTTTTGCAGAAGAAGGAGGTTTAAAGATCTGTCAAAATTCACATATTTTTAGAAGCAACGAAAAAAACAAAAACAGGAAGCTGGTGTTTTCCAGAGAAACCAGATTCCATCCATAACTTCATTTTCAGGCTGAAGCTAACATTTCAGAGTGAGAAGTTTCTGTGAAATTCGTTGAACCCGTTATACATGCAGTGTCCAGGGGTGAGGGGGGGGAGTCTGTATCTGTAGCAATCAGTGAAGTAAGGGGACATCCTATGACGTATTGTAAATTCATGTTTTTTTTGTTTTTGTTTTTTTTTTAAGTAATAAAGTATTTCACATAGATAAAGACAGAAAAAAAAATGCAACAGAAGTGTAGAAGATTGATTGAGATATAGAGATAAATAAAGAATTTAAGGAAAGTGAGCTGACTAAACAAAAGCAGATCTGTAAAAATTTGTTTTGGGGGAATCTTGCCGTGGAAGACGTCCGACCTTCTGAGACTTAGAAGGTCTTTTCTCTGAGCAGAGAGTGAAAAGCTCTTCAAGGTACTGATGATGAAAACGTTCAAGGGTTTAAAATAAATAATGAGTCCAACACACAGAAATATAGAGACACACACAATGGATGGATGGATTGTAAAGTGTATTTTTTTAATATACAAAATATTTTATTTCAAGAATATTTCCTTGAAATTGGAGTTTGGAAGCGACTCATCCAGAAAGCTCTCCACCGTGAGTTTTTTATCTTAGAGGAAAAAGCTGATAAATCTGTGGCTGCAGATATCAGGGATGAGGCAGGAAAAACAGCCATAATTTAAATATATCCCAGGGATTTAATGTCAGCATTGATTCAATTTAATTAAAATCAAATAGTTCTGAAGAAACCACATTACAACCTAAAACTTTCCAATCTTTTCTCACTCTATCCAGACCCTACATCCAAACCAGGGTGATGTTAGCCTAAAAGAAAGGCCTGATGATTAAAGCCTCATCAGCTACCTGGAGTCTGATTATATTATCAGTCAGTCTGACTCACTGGATGAGCATAAGGAAAATACACTGAAACTAACCGACTTTATTTTCTACTGTAGCTGTGTGATAAAGAAGTAAAGCTACGCCTTGAGGTGTATTTCCCTTATGTTATTAATAAAGATCTGCTCTAACAACAGCTGTCAGTAAAGAGCAATTTAAAGCAAACTGTTAGATTGGACCCATGAAGAGAAGCTGGAAGCTCAAAACTGGATCCTTTCCAGGTTCGCACCTGACATCTAGAAAGTATGAACCGCTGTTCATCTGGGCCATTTAGTTATTCTGTATGTTTTATTTCTCATGCATGAATGTCGGATTTATCAGATAAAAACCGACCATGAAATGAAGCGTCAGGTTCTGGTCACACTCTTGTGAAACATCAGGTCCGGGTTTGGAAACATGGAAAGTTTTGAAGGAGGGAAAAAAAATTCCACTTTTGCAACAGAGAGAAAAAAGAAGTGTTGGTTTATAAAGAACATTAAGAAACAACATCAGCACACAGGAGGGGCTTTAGTCTGGTTCTGTATTTGTTCCTGATTTACATCTGAGAGTTCCTGAGTGTAAATCTGGTCTAAAGATGTTCCCTCTCTCAAGTTTTAGTGAGCTGTGAGTCAGCCTGCTGCTGTATTTTGCCTCAGGATGTCCTTCATCAAGTTCATGTGGCCGTCTGACATGCAACGACCTGCAGAGCTGCACAATGAATGTCACACAACTCCGTTCCTAGAGGACTTGATTGTGGTTCTGTAAATGTTTTGTTTGATGCAGATTAAAGGTTGGATTGTAGAAAAAGTCCTCCTGTAACTTTCTAAACTTTCTGCACAACAAACCGCCATCTTACAGGGGAGACAACCTCACTGTCCTCACACTAACACAAACCTCCACATATGTGGCTCTGGCACTGCAGGCCTTTTCCGGCGCTCCTATAGCAAGCTTTTAAAACAGGCCTGAAAAACTTGTTCCAAATTATTTTCTAATGTTCTGTAGTATTTTTGGTCTCCTTTGTATTTATGGATTTACTACATTTTTTTGTGTTTTTGAACAATGTTCTCCATTTTTTTCACAATGACTATTTGAGATTTTCTGTAAATGTAAAGTGCATTATCAATAGGTGCATTATTATAATTCCTGTTAAACTGAACCATAAAGGTTTTATTTTTATTGCTGCAAAGCCTCACTGTTTTTAATTCTTCCAAACAAATGTTTTCTGAGCCAATCAGATGCCTTTCTCTATATTTCTGTGCAGTGAGGTTATTTTAAACAGCTGCAGCACCTACTCTCTAATGCTGCATCAGTCAGCCATGTTTTAATGATACTCTAGGTTATTTTACATTTTCATTATATCTTCTATCAAACATATTTTTAGGCTTTAGCCTCCAGTTTCGGTTTATCAGCTCATTTTTGCTTCTCCTTTGCGCAGATTACCTTTTTGTGTTTCAGGCCAATCGGCGGTTTGAATTTCGTGAGAAATCCACCAGATGATTCCTGATGAGGGAGAATTGACTGACAGTCCCTCCAGCCAATCGGGAGGGGAGCTGGAAAAAAAATCCCAGCGCGAGCTGCACACCTGAACCAATCAAAGCGCGAGCTGAGAGAACCTTACCTTTTATGGAGAACAGCGCGGTGTGCCGGCTCAAATAAAGCCGCTGCGGCTGCTGATGTGATGCTGCAGTAAGTGACCACAGCTGGGACAGAGGAACAGCAGCAGGACTTCACCTACAGACACACCCGCTACTCACCTGCAACAGGTAAGATTCAGACTGGAGCTTCTGCTGCTTAATCTGATCTTAGACACTAAATGTTTGTGTTTTGGTGTTTTCCAGACAATTTTGGTTTTGATATATGAATTTAAAATTAGTCCCTTAGGTGGCATTAGCTGCATCTTGGTTTTTAAGGTTCAATTATGACAGTATATTGTATTAAATTTGTATATTTGCTATTTAAGAGGTCATTTAGCATGCTTCTTAATCATTAAATGAAATGCACTGAAAATGACTCCATGTGTTGAATTCCTCTTTGTTCTCCAATTAAGAATTGGAATGAAATTTGCTTTTAAAGTTAATGACTGCTCCTAAGTGAGGAAATCCAACAGAAGTGAATGGAGTTTAGGCTAGTTGGTCACACCCAGTAGATCTGATTTGAAGACTGGGAACATGGGTGTGGTGCAAGACTGTACCAAGATTAATCTAGTTTCATCTCTTAAGTCCTGACCTGCCTGCCTTGAGTTATGTGAAAACAACTCTTTAAATTTTTATTTTATTTTTTCACAGAAATGGAAGACGATATCTCTGCTCTCGTTGTTGACAATGGCTCCGGTATGTGCAAGGCCGGTTTTGCTGGGGATGATGCTCCTCGGGCAGTTTTCCCCTCCATTGTTGGGCGCCCCAGACACCAGGTGGGAACCCGACTGCTTACATTTGTATTGTGTAGAGGGGGAATGGTGTAGCTGATCTTATGTTTTCTGCAGGGTGTGATGGTGGGTATGGGACAGAAGGACAGCTATGTGGGAGACGAGGCCCAGAGCAAGAGGGGTATCCTGACCCTGAAGTATCCCATTGAGCACGGCATTGTTACCAACTGGGATGACATGGAGAAGGTAAACTGATGTTGAAATTGTGTTAACATGGGCCTGATGGTGGGTTATTAAAATTTTCCAAGTTCTGTTGTCTTTAGTTAAATCTAATTTACACAAAAATGGCTACTTTTTTTTTGATTCTCTGGGGAAACTGTAGCAAAGTGTGTGTGTGTGTGGGGGGGGGGTGTGAGGGTTTTTTTTTTAGGGCACAGTCTCCAAAAATAACTAAACTTCTGTCTCCTGCTCTTCCGTTAAGATCTGGCATCACACCTTCTACAATGAGCTCCGTGTTGCTCCAGAGGAACATCCAGTCCTGCTGACAGAAGCTCCACTCAACCCCAAAGCCAACAGGGAGAAGATGACCCAGGTGAGTTCTTACTTTATGAACCCAGTTTGGGGAGAAAAAAAAGCTACTTCACCAGAGAAGAATTTAAACTAATCCTTTTCTTTCCCAGATCATGTTTGAGACATTCAACTCTCCTGCCATGTATGTGGCCATTCAGGCTGTGCTGTCCCTGTATGCCTCTGGTCGTACTACAGGTGGGTGAAACTCAAACGAGGCGACCCTCCATCATTACCTTTAATAGTTCTTGTAATGAGCAGTTTTATCCCTCAGGTATTGTGATGGACTCTGGGGACGGTGTCAGCCATACTGTGCCAATCTACGAAGGCTACGCTCTTCCTCACGCCATCCTCCGTCTGGATCTGGCTGGCAGAGATCTGACAGATTACCTGATGAAGATCCTTACAGAGAGGGGCTACAGCTTCACTACCACTGGTATGACTCAATGATTGGCCCAAGACATTTCTTTAATGCTATACATGGCCCACTTCGCTGGTACCAAGTTTGCTTTAAACTGACTTCCAGCTGAGCGTGAGATTGTGAGAGACATCAAGGAGAAGCTCTGCTATGTGGCTCTGGACTTCGAGCAGGAAATGCAGACTGCAGCTTCATCGTCTTCCCTGGAGAAGAGCTACGAGCTCCCTGATGGACAAGTCATCACAATCGGCAACGAGAGGTTCCGCTGTCCTGAGGCCCTCTTCCAGCCTTCTTTCCTTGGTTTGTACTAATTTAAAGTCTTAAGTGTTTCCTTTAAAGTATGGCCTTGACTCCCCCTGGGGGGGCTAGCAGTAGCGGGAAGCTTTGGGTGGTAATGGCCTAGTGGATATAGCAGGAAGCTTGCAAACTGAACGGGCAACAAACTGCTCTGCATGCTGACTGGCATAGTGGCACTCTGCTCCATCAGGGATGGGTTTAATGGAGAGGATAAACTTTAGTGTTTGTGGGTATATTGTTTTTGAAAGCTGTCTACTGGTGGTTCTACATTTAACTGACTTTAATCTTCAGGAATGGAGTCTGCTGGTATTCATGAGACCACCTACAACAGCATCATGAAGTGTGATGTGGACATCCGTAAGGATCTGTACGCCAACACTGTGCTGTCTGGTGGTACCACCATGTACCCTGGAATTGCTGACCGCATGCAGAAGGAAATTACTGGCCTGGCCCCACCCACCATGAAAATCAAGGTATGGAACCCAGTTCTTGGTGCCCACCATGGGTTTTCCTTTCACAGTACAACTGGCTGAACAGAAGGGAAATCTGGTTACAAATGCTTTAAGAGCTGGGTGTCTATTCAAAAGGTGGTACCTTAATTATCCTACAGAGGACAGAAAATGTCACCCAACTTGAAGGAACACAAAATTTAACAATCAAATGCGTTTCTGTAAAAAGCTGAAGTCTTCATAGTAAATCAAAATTGACATTTGAGTTTTCCTTTAAAGCAGTTGCATTAAGCTTTGCTATTGGCTCTAAATTAAATCGATTCTCTGCAGATTATTGCTCCACCTGAGAGGAAGTACTCCGTCTGGATTGGTGGCTCTATCCTGGCCTCTCTCTCCACATTCCAGCAGATGTGGATCAGCAAGCAGGAGTATGATGAATCTGGTCCAGCAATTGTCCACCGCAAGTGCTTCTAAAGCATTTCCCCTCCTGTCCCAGTGGTCAACATGGTTTCAACTGCTGCATCCAGCTGAAGGGATGCCTGGTTCATCTTGTGTAAACGGACTCAAACAAGCAACCTGAACCAGCAATGGTTCCATTTCAGTCTGATGCTGCCGAATGTTGAAATTTCATTACTAAAACTTGCTGTTTAGTTTGATGCACCCCTAGATGGCTGTGCTGAGCCTTGTACACCAGGATAATCCATCTCTGTAGTGACTGGAGGTAGGATTTTAAAATCCTGTTGCATCTTTCCAATGCATTAAAACACTGATTCTCAAATAAAAGTTTAGTCATGCTGTACTCTTGTGTGGGTTTTTGTTTTTTGGCCATTTAACCTTTATGGTATTAAAGTTTCTCTTAACTAGTGACCTCCAATTAACAGTGCTGTTAGCAAATGTAACTCCATGGTGGTTCTCTAAGCCCCAGAGATGTAGTCCTGCTATTGGCTAGTTTTTCTTTAGTTCACTGGAGTATATGCCCAACTAGACTTTAGGCAGCTCCTGTTCATTACTGTATGATTGCTCTAGGTATGTAACCATTTTCAGGGTAAGTCTTGAGACGCATCTGAAATGGTTTGCTCAGTAGGAGCTTGCCATGTAGCCTGTGTCAAGGGATCCCCAAGTGTAAGAAATGCTGCCATCTATTGGTGAACTTTTCCTTGCTCTTGTGGATGAGTCTGCTGATTTAATTGAGGCTAAAATTTATGGATGTAAAAAAGAATATTTAAATGCTGAAATCTGATTTGGCTGCAAATGAAACTCTGCTTCATTCAGGTGGGAACAAAGCTATGCCCAACTTTTGTTAAATTAGCTAATTTCACTGGCTAGAAGCTTCTCGACTTCAACGAGTGTCGATTACTTTGGCTTGAGTTTACCAAAAGGTCAACACCTGCAGTTTTTACAGGCACATTTTCCTGATAGAAATTGTAAGGAATTGGTGTAATATTCAGTGTCAAAGTGTCCTTGGCCTTCCACAAGTGTAAAAAAGGCAGATCCCAATGATTTTTCTTCCATTAAACCTTTTTGGACAGGCACACGCATCCTGTGGTTAAGTTTGGATCTTGAATCACTTGAACATACTATGCCAGAGTAGAATTAATCAGACTATTGAGCCACTTTTGGTAAAAATTAATGACAAGTTTTAAGAACTGAAATATCTACACATACAGTGGGAACAAACAAATCATGGTATGAAAATTAGTGCTGGTTGTATTTCTAAGTTTTAATCAGAAAAATCCCTTTACAAAGTCAGGTCTTCAGATTTTCCACCTGAAAGTTTTTAAAAATGTACTTATTCAAAACCGTCCATGTCGCATTGATCACTAGTGAAAAGCTTTCTACAGGTGATGGCATGAAGTATTATATTTGTACACTTTTAACACTGATACAGCATCACAACTAGGACCACTTCTAGAGATTAAAAGCATATATGGTTCAGAATGCAAAAATATTTACCAAAGTTATAGTTTACAAATTGAAAAGCATTGCATGTTTCTGTATAATGGGAGTTAAAGGTGATTTGAACACTGATCTTTCTAATGTAGAACCAGATGGTTCTAGATCCCATTAGAACATATTTAAGTGCATTACTGGTGCCCTGATTATTAGTGTCTGCACCGTATGATCCACTCAGCAAAGTTCTGGATGTTGAGCTGATAAACCAGAATCAGGCAGGTCCATGTTCTCTCTGGAACATTTCCAGGTTCAATAATTAACGGCTTTGATACAAATAAAATAGTAAAGAATAAAAGATCGGTGCGACTAATAAAGAAGCAAACCACACATAAGTCCATTTCCTTCTTTTCCGATAGTACTCCTCCTGAAGTTGTCGATGACTCGTCCTCTCCTCCTCCAGCTTCATCTTCATCTCCTGCAGGTTCTGTTTCTGCTCCTCATGCATTTGCTCCCAGATTTTTTCCTTTTCTTTCTCCAAAGCTGCCCTCTCCTTTACCCTCTCTCGTCTGCTCTGCTCCAGCTTCTTCTCAGCTGCCTCTTTTTGTTCTCGTTCAGAACTAACTTGTTTTTCCAAGGCACCAACTTTTTGTTGCCACTCTTTCCGCTGCAACTCTGCCCTTTTTCTTTCCCCTTCCTCCAGTTCTTTCTTTATCTTTTCACGCTCCTTTATCATTGATTCTTTCTCCTTCAATAATTGCTTTCTTTCTCGTTCAAGTTTAGCCTGAAGGGCTTTAATTTCATCTCTGTGTTTTTTCTTTTCTTCGTCCTTTTCCTTTACATCCGTCTCTTTCCTCTGTGGTTCTATTGACTTTGGTTCATCTTCACCCTCCTCCTCACTCTTCGGTTCTACATCCTGCAGTTCAGCTTCCAGTTTTAAAGTTCTCTCAATCAAAATCCTGGTGAACACATTTTTTGAGAAGGATCTTGACTGTTCATTACTCATCATTTCTACCTTCTCCATCAGTTCTGGGATCTGCTGACTGTCCTTGATGTTGAGAACAACATATCTTCCTCCACAGGTCTGAAGGAGCTCCTGGATGTTTCTATCAGTCTCTATGAAGTCAGGATCTGTAGGATCTGAGTCCACAGTGAACAGGATCATGGTAAAGTCATTGACTCTAGAGCTGAATGTGTCCTGGATGGTCTGTAACTCTCCCTTGTCTTCATCAGTGAGGGGACCCACAGGTAGGACCAGGATGAAGGCGTGGACACCCTCAGGTTCACAGAGGGAGATACACCTGAATGATTCCTCCATCACTTCCTGCTGAGCTTTTCCATACAAGGCAGGCAGCTCCACCACAGAAACCAAACGTCCATGAACTTCTCCCTGGTTTCTAACACACTCTGAGGAGTTGGAGGCTGAAGGAAGATCTATTTGACCTAGAATGGCCTTGGCTGCTGAGGTCTTCCCTGATCCTCTCCTTCCAAACAGAACCAGGTTTAGTGAAGGTTTAGGTTTCAAAGTCATTGTCAAACCTTCATCCTTTTCTCCATTCCCCTCCTCAGACACTGGAAGAAAAAGAGGAAAGAAAGTCAGTGTAAAAACAGTCCATCAAGAACCAGAACCAATTAAAGTTTGATTCTAGTTTTACTCAAAAGTTGGAAAAATACAAAACTAAGAATGTTTACCGACTCATACCTCAATTACCAAAATTGGCTTTAATTAGTTTAATCGTAAAGTCTTTATTTCAAATGGATCTGTCATTAAAAGTGCTGCTGTTCTGTTATGATGCATTAAATACATCAGCATCAGCTACAGAGGTCATTGTTAACAAATAGTAGATTCCACAGGTTTGTAACTGAAACACACTTATGTTGGGTGTGACATCATTCCCAGATCTGTGCTCTGATTGGTTAAGTAGTTAGAAAGTAGCATTACTAGTTTGATTTCTCTAATATAATTAGTCAGTTTTTTTTTTTACTCAAGGAACAACAAAAGCTGAAATGATCTGAATAACTTTTCTTCCCACTGTTATGGCATGCATGCTCAGCTTGAGGGATTGCTGCAAAGCTAACAACTCAAACAATATACTTTCATTGTTTTAATATAGCCGGCTGGGTACCTTACGCAGAAAATACATGTATATTTATATATGATAGGATTCCAGTTTGTGTGGGTTGTTTTTGTGTTTTCCTCTCTCCACCACCAGGTGGTGCCCTGTCCTCGTTGGGCCTCCCTTCACACCTGCAGCTCGTTGGATCATTACTGGAGGAGTGTTTGAGCAGCGGGCTGTCACTACCTCGACGCCAGAGTGTTTGCCAGTATTGGGTACTCTAGCCAAACTGAGATTAGCAGAGTCTAACCTTAGCATTGTTTCTCTCAGTCTGAACTTGTTTTGTCTTTGTTCTTCGGCAGGAAGACTTCCTGTGTTACTGGATAACCTGGACCTTCTACCCCTGGAAGGATTTACTGAGTCTCACTGAGCAAGGGGTAACCTCCACATTATCCGTTCAAGTCCACACCTGGAAAACCAAGTGACAGTCCGCTCCTTTAATCCTCTGGTTCCAACGTATGTCTGCCTGGCCGCTCCCCAATGAGTTCCCTCTTCTCTGCATTAAACCTCCACAAACTGGATCCAAGGATTAACCAAGAGCCCCCCCAAACGTTAGTGCCTCCCTAGCTAAAATCAAGCCTCAGTCCATTTTCCCACTGTCCCTGAACTGATCACTGTGATCTCCCCTTCAGTTTCCGGTTCCGGTTCATCAGTGCGCTGAGTTCCAGCATTGTTTCCCAACAGAATATCATTCTACATCAGTGTTTGCCAACCAACAATAAACCTGTTAAACTTTTACCCTTGGTCGCTGAGTGGTTCTCTGCATGTCTTTGCAGATCTTTAAAGCCCGTTATGACAATATATGTTTACAAACTGACCTAAATGCTGCAGTTAGAAGATAAAACCAACCTGGGATGCAATAATATTAATTCAATTTTGATTCGATTCAGTTTATTTCTATAGCGCCAATTACAACACATGTCATCTCAAGGCACTTTGCAGTTCACAAGATCATTCAGTCAAATTGATTCAAAGTTTTCTATCTAAGGAAAACCAGTTGACAGGCACAAAAAGCAGCTGTAAAAGGCGGCCCCATCTAGGAAACACACAGCCAGGCAGACCAGCTCTGAGCCAGCCCTCATATCAGAGGATGAAGAGAGCACATCCAGTTAGTCACAGTCATAGAAACAGAACTACACTGAAAAACAGGCCGATCTCCAACATCTATGAACTAAGGTTTGTCTCTCCAGGATGGAGAGACATACTCCTTAGGTCATTCTCGAACACCACCAGAGGACAGTCTCGAACATTCATAAACAAAGGTGTTGATGGCAGCAGAACAGCTAATATTTCTCTCCAGGATGGAGTCACAGCCAAACAGGAACAGACCAGATGAAGCTACTATGAGAAAAAGCAGAGAGAGCAGAACGTTAGAGATTGAACTAACAGATTCTGCAGAGTGGGAGAATAGAGATAGAATGAAGCAGAATGATGAAATGGGGGTCCCTATGTCCTCCAGCAGTCTAAGCCTATAGCAGTATAACTATAGAGATAGCTCAGGATAACCTGAGCCACTCTAACTATAAGCTTTATAGAAAGGTTTAAGCCTAGTCTTAAAAGTAGACAGGATGACTGCATCACAGACTAAAACTGATAGTTTGTTCCACAGGAGAGGAGCCTGATTATGTGATATTACACTAAACTCTATGAGATCACTTTGCTGATTGATGCTTACAAATCAGTTCAGATCAGAACTCAAGTTAAACACATCCACTGGAGTCAGTCCAAGTCCAAGTTTTTCTGTTTCTATTTAAAGTGAAACCTTTTTTCTGTCTGATCAACTCAGCAGAGACAGCAGTCTAAGCAGAGATGCCCAGACTGTCAGGAATCCAGTTTGTGTGGTCTGTTTTTGTGTTTCTTTTTCTCCTCCACCAGGTGGTGACCTATCCTCATTGGGCCTCTCTGCACACCTGCAACTCGTTGGATCATTATCAGGACGAGTATTTAAGCAGTGGACTGTCACTACCTCGCCGCCAGAGTGTTTGCCAGTTTTGGGTACTCTAGTCAAGCTGAGTTTAGCTGAGTCTAACGTTGTTTTTGTCTTTGCCTTTCGGCAGTAAGCCATCCTGCAAGCTGGATGTTTGGCCTCCTTCCCCTGGAAGGATTGTTTGAGTGTCACACTGAGCAGGGGATTAACCTCCACATGTTCCGTTCAAGTTCTCCTGGAATTTCAAGTGACAGTCCGCTCCATTGCTCCTTCGGGTCTGACGAATGTCTACATGTCCACTCTCCAACGAGTCTCCTCTTCTCTGGATCAACCCTAACTGACTGAATTCTAAATGAGAGAAGAACCCCCCCAAACGTGAGTTCCCTCACTAGCATTATCTTTACGGCATCCAAGATTCCCACGGTCCCTGAACTAATCATTGTGATATCCTCTCCAGACTTTGTAGTTCCTGTTCACCAGCTCTCTGAGTTCCAGATCCAACCCCCTCAGCCCTTACCTCAATAAACCTGTTAAACCTTTTGCCTTGCTCTCTGAGTGGTTCTCTGCATTTTGGGTTAGACCTCTTAAACACATCATGACACAGATCCACACTGATCCACACACATCTCCTCCAACTGCTTGGGGAACCCCGAGATGACACCAGGCCAGCTCAGAGACATAGTCCCTCCAGCGTGTCCTAGGCCTTCCTTGGGGCCTCCTCCCAATGGCCTGGAACTCCTCAAGAGGGAGGCGAACAGGAGGCATCCGAAAAGATGCCCGAGCCACCACAGCTGGCTCCTTTCAACGTGGAGGAGCAACAACTCTACACTGAGCTCCTCACCCGATTTTGGATGAAGCTTCAACCAAACATTAACAAAAACTACCTGAAAATACACAACAGTTTTTCTCACATTAAAATTAATCCAAAATGTTCTTGTTTAAGGTCAGTTAAGATCATAAAACGCTAAAATTATGTCTACAAAATACTTTTAAAAAAACACATTTTTTTTTTTATTCTAAAGTGGACATTTAGATAAACTAAGATTTCTATTTATTTCAGCAGTTTGGGAAACCATAGATGTCACGGTTTATTCTGATTAGTTAATTCTCAACATTCTAGTCCAATGGAGGTAAACCTGGAACTGCAGTTCCTTAAAACAGCCAAGATATCAGAGTTATGGAGTTCCATTAGTTTAGCTCATCATAGAATATTTTAAACGTTCTCCAAACAATTCATTATTTTGAAAAGTTCCAAAAATACAATATATTGGTGATCATTACTGAACAATAACGAGAAAAGTTTGACTCAAAGTCAAACATTTTTCATGTTTTAATATCTGTAAATATCTGGTGTCCTGAACCTAAAATAAAACCTAAATCTGAACCACGTGTTCTTTGGTCATGATTTTCTACAAAATATAATTGTGATACAAAACATCAACTTTGATTTTTTAAATAAAGGTCAACTGGTCAGGTATAATCATTGATTAGCTGAATTAATTTAACTCTGTTCTTCACTAAGTGTCTGCATCGCTGCAGGTTGGATCATCACCAACATTTAAAATAAAACTAAATTCTTTGCTTCAAACACATTATTTCTACAGACTGATCCAGAAAACAAGAATATTGGACTCAGTTCAGCCGTACTTACAGTTGGGACGAATGAGTTCATTGCTAGCACGGCGCCTCACAGGGATATCTGTTGGCAAGGGGGGAAAATATTACATATTATCCCTTATTTATAGGAACCACACTGCTAATAAATACTTCTTATCAACAATAAATAGAAGTGATGCAAGCAAGAAAAACAGAAATGAAAATGGTTCAACAGTTAACATCTCTGCTGATGTTTTATGAGGATCTAAGAACAGAAATTAGACCCTCTGTCCAAATGTAGATAAACATCCTTTAAGAGGTCAGACCAGGATCGTCTGTTTGATTTATTTATAGATAAAAGGTTAAAATCTGCTCTGAAGCTGCAGATGAACCCAGAGGAGAAGCTCTGATTATCATTCTGTCTGTTAAAGCTGAGCAAGCTGTGGGCTGAAGTCTGTGGATTAAAGGTTTGTATCTTTGTTTTAATAAAAATCTGAATTAATCAGGATTAACATGATCTACACTGATGCTGAGCTCGGCTGTGTGCATCTTTAGATTGATGAGGATAAAAACCATCAGGAAATCTGTGCTGCTCAGAGGTGTAACTCACCAGGCTGTGCTGCTGCCATGCTGTCTGCTCCCTTTGGTCGATCTGAGTTAAAGAAGAAAAAGTTTTTAAATTCTTCATTTTACCAACAGTTTAAAACCCAGTGATCAAATGTTTCTCTGCAGCTATTAGAGGAAATGTTTTAGAAGAAAAAGCTGAAAATTGAATTGTTTGTTTGTGATTGGTTCTGGTTCTGTGAGGCGTCTCTCAGCACCAACCTGCACAGCGAGTCCTCAGGGATTCTCAGGACTTTATTCAGCTGCTATAGAAAATTCCAGCCTCATCAAACTATCTTCATCTTTATTTTCCCTCCATCTTCTGTGGTTCCAGGTCTGTCTGCAGCTCCCAGGAGGAAACAGTCTCTGTTTCAGATCGCAGCATCAGCTGAAGGTCAGCGGCTCCTAAGAGGTCAGAGGAAGAACCTAATCTGTCATTTCCATCCTGCTGGGTTTCATGTGGAGCTGATCCACCAAGGAGCTTCTAGATATTAGCCACAGCTGGTGCTGGAGACCCAGTTCTTTCCTGGTTCTAAACTATCGAGGTACTGCTGAAACCCCCCAGGGTCAAATCAGAAAAGATTTGCTAATTTATTGTAAACATCTCGTCCTGAATAATCATGTTTATCGCTGTAAACAGAGAATCTAATATTAGTAGTTTATTCTGGGCTGAAACAATTCATTGTGATTAATAATTTATTTACAAAAACTGTTGCCTAATTTGGTAATAAAAACAGCATGAATTAAGACAAACATCTACAGATGTCCACTAAAAGCAGGAAAACATTAAATATTTTTTTCCATTAGATAATTTTTTTTTTCTCATCCAGACATTTATATTAATAAATAAGTATAAACTTTTATTTATTTATGTTCTGTCAATTGGAATTCATTTGAAATGTGCAAAAAGGCTTTTTTTCTTTATTAAACAAAAGAGAAACATTAACTAATCAAACAAAACATTTAGAATGGATGGATGGATGGATGGATGGATGGATGGATGGATGGATGGATGGATGGATGGATGGATGGATGGATGGATGGATGGATGGATGGATGGATGGATGGATGGATGGATGGAAAATCATTCTACCATCATGGAACCAATTATTAGATCAAATTTGTTTTATTCATTATTGTATTTTTCAGGTTATTTACCTGAAGAAAAGGAAATCATAGAAGCCGCAGATATAATAGAATAATTTTTAACCCACATTGCTCTGCACATTAACTCGTGACTTTAGCTTTCTCCTCCTGCTCTGACTGCACCCTGTAGCCTGATAGAAATGAACCAATCAGATCAGATGCTGGTTGTAAAAGGGAGCAAAGTCCGAGTGACAAACAGTCTGGGGAAAACATGTTATATAGTAATAATAATAATGTTCTAAAATGGCTACAGGAAAGTTTTTGGTATAAATGTTTAATTTTCTTTTTTGTAATTTTTAAAAGTTTTGTTTTAAAACAGCAATAAACTAAACTAGAAGTTGCATTAGAAACGTTTTCTGCCTTTCTTATTCCTGCAAAGTTCAATCAAACTCCAGTTTTTCCTTTTAATGGAGATTTCTTGCTGCTTGTCTGCATTTAACTGATCCTTTAGAAATTACTCATCTGATCTGAAGGTCAAAGACTAAATCTGTTTTGTTTCATACATCCAGCTGTTGAACAGCTGTGTCTGTGTAAACTTAGGCTGGGATCCATGCAGCTCAGCTTCAACTCGTCATTTAACGTCTTTAATTAATCTAGATAGTCAGAACATCTGATTAAGGGTTTATTAGAGTTCTGACAGAATCCCGAATCTTTAACCGTCTGTCTGCTATAAGTTCCAGAAACAATAAGCTACTGTACTCACCGTCAGCTCCTTCTTTCCTGACTGGTTGAAAACAGAAAGCACTGATGTTCAGATTAGTTTACCTTCGACCAGATAAAGGAGTGCCTTTATGACTGCCAGATCAAACCTGACAGCAGAGGCCTGTTGTTGAAAGCTGTGTCTTTTTTACTACAGGACTGATCTGACATTTCCCACCGATTCACATAGTGGAAACTGAATGACTGGTTCTGGATTTTCTGATTTTCACCCTCAGGTCTGCTTCTATGAGGAACCAGAGAGTCATTGAAAAAGAAGACCAGCCATTTAAGATGTAACATTTAAATCAGGCAATTTGAAATCCAACTTTAATTTTTTTTCTAATTGCAAATTTGAATTGAATTATTAAAGAAGATTTGGAAATTATTAATTCATCAGTAAATACTGGAATTTTAAAAATGTATTTTCAAATCCTATTTCTAAATGTAAATTTAAAACCATAATTTATCAATCTGACTATAAATATCACCCTAATAGCTAAGCCTAGTTTTTCTATATATATATTATATAGAAAATATTAATTTATGAAATGTATAGAAAAAAAATGAAGACCAAAAAAAAAATAAAAGACTGTTTTAAAATTTAAACCCGATGTTTCAATAATAACTGAGATTTGGCTGCAGATTTTCTGATTTCCTAATTGTGTCATGATTTAATCTAAAGCTCGGACCCACATGCAGTGAAACCAATTCTGAGAGACACAGATGAAAAGTTTAATAGATTTATTGAAGAGTAAGGCTTGGTGTGGAGTTGCTCAGAACTCAGCTCGACCAGAACTGGAAGGTGAAGGGAAGACAAACGATTAGTTCAGGCTCAGTGGGAAATTTCATTCGTGGATATGGAGAAGAGGCTCTGGTGGTTGACTCACGATTCCAGAGGAGTTGTAGGATCTTTGACTCCAAGCTGTGTGCTGTTTTCCAGTGTTATTCTGATTCGGTGGAGGGCGGAACAGGGTTACCCAGAACTTGGATGGTTGTTGGTGAACGGAGAAACTAACTGCCACGCAGATTTCCTGCGGTACTTGAATGGGTCGTAATGGAGACGATTCCCTTGCTCAGAGAGTAAACTCAACGTCCTCTTCAAGGAAGAAGGATCCAAACCTCCTGTTTGAATCCCCTGCTCGGTTTGAGGCTCAGTTGATTCCTTCAGGGGGAGAAGGTCCAAAAAGATCCAGTTTGCAGGATGACTTCCTGCCGAGAGGCAAAGACAAAAACGAAGTTAAAACTCAGGTAGAACAAGAACTCAGTCTAACTCAGCAAACCTCAGCTTGGCTAGAGTATCCAAAACTGGCAAACACTCTGACCTCGAGGTAGTGACAGTCAGCAGCTTTAGAACACTCTGCTAAAGAGGCATCCATCATCTGGTGTGTGAGGAGGCGGACCAGAACCAGGCGCCTCCTGCTGGTGGAAGGGAGAACAACACAAAAAGACAAACACACAGACTGGAGTCCTGACAAATTGGAATAAAAAACTGATGAGAACAGATATAAATCGGACAGAAAGTGTTTTTTTTTTATGTTAAACAAGAAATTAAATCCTAATTTCATATCAGACATAAAACCCAAATTATTTAATTCAGTTGCTGTTTACCTAAAACTAAACCAGTTTCAGTACGGTTTATAAAGGGCTGACTCCGTATTGTGTTTTATCACCTCTGAGATTTTTATACTGGTGGATCCAAACACTGACATGAACAGGTCAGACAATGCGCTTGCGGGGATTCACACAGGTTCTGCGTATTAATGCAATAACAACAAATTACAAAAAAACTAACAATGATAAACATTATTAATTTGGATACCAGTTACAGACATGAAAAAATGCAATAGTTATAAGAAATAGATAAGCTATCATGAAATCATCTAATCATAAAGAAAGTCTGAAATACTGATTTACAATCAACACAATCAGGTAAAACTGGAGGCATTAATTAAGATATGTTAATTGGTTAAAAAAACAACATTTAATTCTTCATAATATTAATGATTAATTCAGCCACTTCAGTTCTGGTTTTTAGATGTATTTCTTAGATTTAAAAATATTTTGTTATAAAAACTGACAAATCAAAATATAAATAAAAATATAATTTTGAAACAAGTAAAGATACTTTTGATAAATGTTTAAGATAAATTCTCAGCTTCCTAAGAAATCATTTAAAACCAAATATTTATTTAATTCCTGGGTGATTATAATTGTCTGTTGTCATAAAGCATCATCCAATCATTAAAATAATTCAGTTCAATAAATATTTAATGACATTTCCACCATGATCTACAATCTTATCCACTGGATCAGGATGGGGTTCCAATGAGGCCTGTTGGAATAAAAGTGTCTTCTTAAATAACAACCTTTAAGCAGGTATTGAATGTATTTTTCATTCAACTCATATTTCTGTAATAAAAATGTTTTTTATTATTCTTGTGATGTTGTCTTACATCAAGAGAAAGCAGAAATTCATCCGAACTAACAAAGAAAATGATAATAAGACATCAGTCTCTGTGGAATAAATCTAGAAAATGTGTTCCTAAAGGAAGACTTAGGGCCGGATCTATCAAAGGTTTGCGTGTATTAAAACGTGAGCTATTTCACTGCGCACGCTAAAAAATGTACAAACTGATCTATCAACAGCGTGCTAAAAGGATTTGGTCTTTAAAACGTGCTAAATAGCGCCTCTTATCCATTTAGTACTTTTTCTGCAATGAATATGCAATATGGTGCGTTTACATGCAAAAGTGCGTCTTGTGGGAGGAGAACATGTAAATATATTAATTTAGCACTCGCAAAGTGATTTATCAAACCTGAACGCAATTTTGCTGACGGTATCTGACTCTATATTTAACACGTTTCAAAAGAAGGTGCAAATGGTCTGTATGCGTAATTGCGCACACATGGCAGCGGTTATTGTCGCAAGAAGGAGACATGGAAATAAAACAATGGGCCGGATTTATTAAGATCCAATTTTGCGTGCAGTAATTTTGCGCTCGCAAAGTGGAATTTTGCGCGAGGGGCTGAACCATGGTTTGCGGGTGATTTAACAAGAGCGATTGCGTAACTGGTGGCAGGCGCAAAACTGTTGGAGACGCCCTATTTAAATGATGGTTTTGCGCGTTTTGTGGTTTGCGGCAAAGTAGTTTGTGCAAACTAGTGCATTAAGAAATTTTAATCTTACAGTGACACCACCCCCTCCAAAAAAAGAAATATATATATATATATATATATATATATATATATATATATATATATATATATATATATATATATATATATATATATATATATATATATATATATATATATATATATATATATATATATATATATAAACTTTGGCAACCTTTATTCCCTAAGGTGGTATGTGGCTGAATTTCTACTTCACCGCAGTAAGAAAAAAACACACAAACAAAAAAAAAAAAACAGGTGTTTTGTATCGGCCTGTAGAACAATGCACATACCAAATGGCTCACAAGAAGTGACTGTGGATAAGATGACTGCATTGGCATGTTGCTCCACAGGCGCAGGGTGTCGGGGTTCTCCGATAGGGCGTCAGGGCGACATGGCATTTAGAACGTCGGACAGCACTTCTGAAAAACGAGATTGGGAGATCCCAGATGCAAAAAAGTGCAATGTTGCGAGGAGTTTTGTGATATCTGGTATTGTGTGGGTCCTCCTTGTGGCTGGCTCCAAATCCATTCGGAGTTCCCCCAACAGCTCCAAAATGGCAATGCCGGATAAACGATATGTTTTGATGATCGTTTCCTCGTTCATTCCAAAAATATTCACACGGAGTGAAAAAATGCGTTCTCTGCGTCTCATTGCTTCATTTCGATGTCTCCTTCTTGCGACAATAACCGCTGCCATGTGTGCGCAATTACGCATACAGACCATTTGCACCTTCTTTTGAAACGTGTTAAATATAGAGTCAGATACCGTTAGCAAAATTGCTTTCAGGTTTGATAAATCACTTTGCGAGTGCTAAATTAATATATTTACATGTTCTCCTCCCACAAGACGCACTTTTGCGTGTAAACGCCCTATATTGAATATTCATTGCAGAAAAAGTACTAAATGGATAAGAGGCGCTATTTAGCACGTTTTAAAGACCAAATCCTTTTAGCACGCTGTTGATAGATCAGTTTGTACATTTTTTAGCGTGCGCAGTGAAATAGCTCACGTTTTAATACACGCAAACCTTTGATAAATCCGGCCCAATGAGACGCAGAGAACGCATTTTTTCACTCCGTGTGAATATTTTTGGAATGAATGAGGAAACGATCATCAAAACATATCGTTTATCCAGCATTGCCATTTTGGAGCTGTTGGGGGAACTCCGAATGGATTTGGAGCCAGCCACAAGGAGAATCCACGCAATACCAGATATCACAAAACTCCTTGCAACATTGCACTTTTTTGCATCTGGGTCATTCCAGCGTACGGTTGCAGCGAGAGCTGGGATCTCCCTATCTCTTTTTTTCAGAAGTGCTGTGCGACGGGGTCGGGGTTCTCCCCCTGCGCCTGTGGAGCAACGTGCCAAATGCTGCGGGGATCTCATCCACAGTCACAGGCCAGTACAAAACACCTGTTTTTTTTTTTTTTTTTTACTGCAGCACATACCACCTTAGGGAATAAAGGTTGCCAATTTATATATATATATATATATATATATATATATATATATATATATATATATATATATATATATATATATATATATATATATATATAAATTGGCAACCTTTATTCCCTAAGGTGGTATGTGCTGCAGTAAAAAAAAAAAAAAAACAAAAAAAAAAAACTGGTGTTTTGTATTGGCCTGTGACTGTGGATGAGATCCCCGCAGCATTTGGCATGTTGCTCCACAGGTGCAACATATTTATTTATTTTTTTTGTTGGGGGTCACTGTAAGATTTAAATTTCTTAATGCACTAGTTTGTACAGACTACAAACTACTGTGCCGCAAACCACAAAACGCGCAAAACCATCATTTAAATAGGGCGTCTCCAACAGTTTTGCACCTTCCACCAGTTACGCAATCACTCTTGTT